AGGTGGACATATCCAGACTGCCCTTTACGGAAAAATGGGGAGAGTGAGATCACCACATCCATATGGACTTCGCAAGTACCTCACGATGCCAGATGGAGCAACAGCCACCTTTGATCTCTTTGAGCCGCAGTCTGAGCATTGCATTGGAGGTCAGTCAAACGGCTGCTGGCTGCATCTAGCTGCTAACCTTGGTTGTGTGCTCTGTGGGATGGATGAGGACACTGCTACTTGAATTATCAGAAAGGATAGGTGTTAAATCTGGTGATGGAAGGGGGCTGCTAAGCAATACTAGCCAATGTGTGGAGGCTATAAGGCCATCTTGCTGTATGTATGCGTATCTCGGACAGCAGGAGAGACCCTACTAGACTAGTTAACTGTTTGTGGCAAGGAATGGGGAGTTAAGGAACAGAATAAATATTCCATAGCCTGTGCCTCAAGTGAGAGGATGGCAGAGAGAATCTAGTGGTAAGCCTTGTTTGGAGTGCCTTCTGCTTATTAAGGCTGTGGGATCACAGAACAGAGGCTAGCTGCATGAGGTTCTTCATAGCCTGGTGTGTATGGAAAGGAAACTAGACTTTATCTCCCCCTTATAAACAGGTTCTTGGTAGTCTTTACTAACAATAGGTGTTTAAAGATCTGCATAAAAACAAACTACATGTGCACAGGATATGAAGGAGTCCAGACATGAAGGGAACTCCATGCAAAAGCAGAAATTAAGGTGATTCCTTACAACACTATGTATATTCGGAATGAATGTCAGCTTTCAAACTCACTGTTACTAGTAATAACAGCAACACTTAAAACTGAGTTACTGTGGCTTGACTTCAGAAGTACAATTTACCCCTGCAGTAACCGATTTCATTGTAAGCCCGTGACTCCCCATTTGGCCTTCAGAAAAAGCGGGTTTCTCTTCTTGTCTGTCAGTGTTGAGATCCTCATGGTGTAATGCTGCACTAGAACAGTTACTGTTACCCTTATCACTGGAGACAATCTAAGCAGTGCTTTCCTAATGGGGCAGAAATTCAGTGGCTACAGCTGCTAATGTTGGTGCTTTACATGTAAGAGTCTGATAGCTAATTTGAAGTGCATGTGCTAATCCTGAATGTAATTTACTGTGCTTGCTTGAATTACGATGATTACTTTCTTAGTTGATGAAATGATATCTTGTTAAACTAGTGGACAGTGTTAGCAGATCAAATATCATTAGATTAGCCGCGAAGCAGATGATGGCCAATGTCAGCTGATCAGAAAGTCTGTGCTTAGCAAAGCTTCATTTTGAAGATCTGTGTTACACCCAGCTCTGGAAGTGAAATTGGAGAAAAATAGCATAGCCAGTCTACTTGGTGCATGAACGAGCAGTGGACTCCAGAGCTTCCACCCACTTAGCAGTCACAACAGGCTGTCAGAAGGCAGAACATGTGTAATGTCAAAAACATCCTTCAAAGGGAAGAATTTGCTCTTGGTCTCTAGGCAGTGCCTGTAGAACTGTTTGGGCATTGTTCCCTGAAGTTAGAAAACTGTTCATCTCCTGTAATACAAATTACTTTTTCACATCTGTAGCGCTAGAGCTGCTAGTCTCCTTGTCCCATACTAGATTTTTGGCAGACTAGTAGGATTTTTAGCTTGCTTCTGGTAGATGGTTTCCCACGGATCTGAAATGGAAACCTTCTGAATCTCGTAATTTGCATGAAGTGACATTTACTTAACTTCCCTTTCTTTCTGTGCACAGAGGATGTCACGATGGTAATCTGCCCTGGGATTGCTAACCACAGTGAAAAGCAGTATATCCGCACTTTTGTTGACTATGCGCAAAAAAATGGGTACAGATGTGCTGTCCTGAATCACTTGGGAGCCTTACCGAATATTGAGCTCACTTCTCCACGAATGTTCACATACGGTAGGTACTTTATGGCGGCTGGGGACTGGTTTTCAAGCTTGTGGAATTTCTAGGGCTTGATGAGCCTCCTTCAGCATAACACAACTGCTGTACCTGAATGAGGATAATTTTGTACTGTTTCTTAGGAACTAAACTGAACTTACATGTGAGGAAGAGGGGAGGCTTATACTGGGATTCACTCTTCCTTGTCTCTTCTCCCATCTCTTAAATATGTAGCCTAATCAAGGAGGCAGTTTTTTGGAAAGAAAACTTTTGGAAAAAACCACTTGTGACTACTAAGAACCCGCTCAAATGATTTTAGAGATGCTGAAATGTCAGTTTAGTAGAATGTGAAACAGACCTGCCTTTAAAGGATAAGCACTACTTCTGAGGCTTTGTAAAATGTAATATGAGAGGAGTTTGTACCAGCCTATCCAGGAAGTACATTTCTGTCCTAGAAGGGTCACATGAGGATTGGTCCCTGGATGTAACAAATGTCAAGGAACAGCAACAAGTCTACAGTATGACAGTAAGGCTACAGAAGTGGTAGTGCCTGACTGCCATGATTCGGGGCTTTCACCTTGAGTATAAGGAAATTTTTCTTAACCTAGAAATTAAAAGGAATAAAGGATTTGGAACTGTGTTAAGGGTTATTCCAGCTATTCTTAACTGTCCTGCTAGTGAGTAACACAATCTTTGTAGAACATGGCCTTCTTGCCTGTCACCTGATCTGCTTGTTCTTCAGTTCCCTTGAGCCCTCATGTCTCTCTTAATGTAGCTAGAGATGTTTGCAGTAATGTCAGGAGTCAATTGCTGGTTTAGCAGACTGGTGTTAGGTTTCTCTTTCTTTTTTTTAAAGGTAACTAAGGTACTTAATGCTAAGAGTTTGGATTAACAGTTTGAATGTTTGTCTTGAACAGTTGAATTGCCAAAATAAAAATATTGTGCTTTGAGATTCTGAATCTGGGAGGAGAATAGGCTGTAATGCTTTTTTGCTTTATAGTTATTAAATCTACTCCTTGGTGGTAAACATTTCAGGAATACCAAGTACCTCAATTTGTACTGAGGGTATAGGCTATTAATGGCTTCAAGCCTACCATGTCTTGGGAATTAAGCTTGGCCTCCTTAAAGCATTTGCTTTTTTGATAAAAGTTGGGAGCTTTCTTCCATGGAGCTTTGCTTTAGACCTTAGGGAGTTGTTCTGTGGTGCATCTCTTGAGACATACCTTTCTGAGTGTTTTATAGCCTTGGAAAGGGCAAGGAATGCCTAGCACTTCCTTTGAGTAAGACAGTAAATCACTTGGCAGAGTTACTTGTTAAGTGGAGTGCCAGCAAGACCATGAGCAGACTTTACTCTGCCTCCAACCCAAATATCCTGGCGTCCTTCCAGCTTTTGTTGGATTCCTGGCATATTTGTTGAGGAGCAAGTAGCCTAAATTTGGGATTTTTCTGAATCCTCCAGCCTTTACATCAAGCTTGACCTGTTGCTATTCTAGTTTTGAATTTCTGAAATAATTACTAGCTGCCCTCAAATCATGAAGGACAAACACTAACATATTTTGCCTCCTGGCTTCTAGAGGAAACTAGAGCAATGCAGCATTTGTCATCTTGAGAAAAATTGCTCATTGAGAATGTTCACAAGGAAGTCCCCAAGCACTGCTGAAACACTCAGCCAAAAGCTTGCTGTTTCACTGAAGTAAACACAAACCTTGGTACTCAGAGTCTGCTCTAGAGCTGGCTAAAACCTGAGTCTGATAACTAGCAAGGATGCTACAGTTGGGGTGGGGGCACACTGGAGCAGTGTTAGGTTAGCACAGGATAGAATCCCAAGTATTAGAATTTATCTCCCTGGACAAGTTGCACAGGATAAAGCTGAGTTTCTGATTCTGTGCAGGAATAAACAGCTGGAGCTTTATTTCTGTTCATGTGATGCCTCCTGTGTAGTTTGCAGTCTTAAATCCAATGCAAAGGTTAACAAAGTGCATAGACAGTTGATACCAGTGTACTAATGCCATCAGTTTTGTAGCTGCTTCTCTTCATGTTTCCTTTTCCCAAACTCAAAGGCAGGAGAAATAGCTGTAGGTACCCACGTGTTGCATGTGTGGAGGCCTTCAAGTCTGTCAAACAATCCGAGGACCCCAGAACTGCCAGAAACTGGACACCTTGGTGCCTGCGGCCTGTGAGATGCAAATGGGCATTAGCTGAGAGCAGAAGAGATCTGTAGAGGCACTTGCCTCCTCTCTTGAAGAGGGGATACCCATGTCTTCTACAAAGCTGTAGTATCTTTACCTCTTCAGTGGTTAAAAAGAGCTAGCTGCCTCTGCTTAAACCCTTCCCTCTGATGCCAGAGAGCACCTGCTTAGTCAGGCTCTGCAACAGTCCACGGAGAGCTCTGTCCTGACAAGCTAACTCTGCGTTTCCATCCCCTCCCCGCATCAGCATGGACTTAAGGATCCATGGCAGCCTTGCTAAAAGCAAAGGAGGAAGCTGCTTTCCAGACACCCCACTTAAGTTAGAAGTGGCAAACTGCCTCAGGAAGGTAATGACGTGCACTGTTCTTAGATAGTAATGTCAAGCCCAGGGTTGTTGGACTCTGCTTTTTAAGCTGCTTTAGAAAGGAAAATTCTTGATTGTCAGATTAGCTGTTGCTATGATTTTTAAGCAAGTCAATTTCATCTTTGGCACTCTGTCAGAACTAAGCATGAGCTAAGGTCCACAGGACTCGTAAAACAGATACATGAACACATGTGTGAATCAGAGCTCTTCTGACTTTTCAATAACCTTAAGGTCTTAAGGGTAAGAAGCTGAACTTAAAGCACACAAGTGAAGTTTGAAGTGGGAATCTAGGTATGTTAGAAGATGATTCTTGACTTTGTCCTTATTTTTTAGGATGCACCTGGGAATTTGGTGCCATGGTTAATTACATCAAGAAGACCTATCCTCAGACCCAGCTGGTTGTCGTGGGCTTCAGTCTGGGTGGAAACATAGTGTGCAAGTACCTGGGAGAGAGCCAGGCCAACCAGGAGCGAGTCCTGTGCTGCGTCAGCGTGTGCCAGGGGTACAGTGCACTCAGGTAGGTCTAGAGACTTCTCTGTGCTGGTCTCTTCTTGGGGAGCAGGAAAGGGCAGACCTTTGGCAGGGTGTGTGTGGAAGGGCAAGGTGAAGTGTGATCTTTCTCTTGCACTGAACTGCTCTAACACTGCAGTGAGCAGGATGCCACCCACCTGAAGGAACAGCCAAAGCTTTGTTGATTTGGAAGCACAAATAAGCTTTCTGTCAACAATGCAAATAAGTTTTCGGTGCCTGGCCAGGTACATGCTGGCACCTCCTGGTCTGTACGTGTGAGCTGGCTTAACTCTGTCATTGCTAGAGTGTCCTAAGAGGAGGCATTCCCTGTGCAGTCCTGGTGTAACTAACCAGGCAGGCTGGGCAGCATGACAAACTGCTGAGATGATGCCAGGTTTGCAAGCAATAGTTTACACTGTCTTTTCACTCTGAGAAGTATCCCTTGGTTCATAATAGCTTGTCTGGCTTCAGCGTGCAGTTTCATCTGGCAGCTCTTACCTGGAGAGACTGGCAAGAGACACACAGCTCATACACTGTCAGTCCATGCTCCCCTCTTCGTGTGTGTCACTGAAAGAGTGCTGTGGGCTGATGAGGAGGAGAGGCACTTGCAGCTATGTTATACAATTTGGAAGGCAGGGAGGAGAAGGCTTATAGCCCTAAAGTCTGCTTAAAATGTTAACCTGTGGTTCCCCACCTGAAAGCCAAGGCTGTAGTGCTTCAAGAGCTGTAATGGCTCCACCTAGTGCTAACACTTGTGTTTACTGATGGAGGATCTGGGTGCAGCACTGCTGCTTGAAAACTCGCTCAACTAATATGCAGTAACTCTCCATGTATGCACAGTTAATGAAGATTAAAACAGAGTAACTGGCTAAGCTACTGTCTTCAGTTTTTATTATCTGTGCATATGGACAACTACTAAGGTGTAGCTGACTTTACAGTAATTCAACTGCACTTTTGAGCCCTGAGGCTATTTGCAAGGCAAAAGGGACTGTTAAGACTAGGGTATTTGGGTCAAGATCATTTGGGCAAATAAAAATGGTGAAACTATGGCAACGCTGTGAGGGGCTTGCTATGGAATTTGGCCTCCCAGCCTGGTCAAGGTGGCTGGAACTCTCTTGATGTTGATGATGCTCTGGCTGTATAGGAACCAGTTTAATATTTAGCAGTCCAAAGACACTTTTTATGAGTTAAGCTCTTACAGGTGAAAGTAAGAAACTTTTCTAGAAGCATGAAGATGTGACTAAAAGCTCCATGTGCATGTCAGTATTATTCCAGCATACCTAATCCCTTTTGAGATGAGATGTGACTACTGCTAAAAGTGAATAATCTACTGCTAGGTCCCCATGAGTTCACACCCTTAAAATCTGAACAGATGCTTTCAGGAACAATTTTTCTGTTTTGTTTCCAGTAAAATGTTCTTAGTTGTCTTGGGATTCTGGCATGGAGCACAGCATCCTTTTGAAGCCAGCTCCTCAATTGCAGCCATCAGACAGGGTTTGCAAGGATCACATCTGGCTGCAGTCTGCTTGGTTTATCTTCTGCAGTTATGCAATATTATATTTCTGGTCTCCAAAATGATGTTGTGAGTAATGCTCTTCCCTAAGCTGATTTCTGTAGCAGTATGTCATGATGTGATGGTAGAATAGCAGGGCCAGGGCAACATGTTTAACAATACTCCACTTAGATATTTGTGTGGAAAAATAACAGCTGCTTCTCTGAGTTTAATGCAAGTCTTCAGTGAGTTGTGTGGATTACTGAGCTCTTGACTCCACCTGCTGGGTAAACATCTACTAGCAAATCTCCAGTCACAAAACTTCTGATACCCATTACTGGGTGATCAGCTGGAAGGTTTTTCAGATGTTGTGTCTCCCTACCTAATATCTACTTCTGCTTTAAGTGCTAGTTAGCTGAAGAGCTAGGGGCAAGCAACATCAATAAATATCTACTAAGCAAAAGATAGAGAAGGCCTTGTGTCCTGGTGCAGAAGTGGGAGGGAAGAGGTACAAAGCACCTCCAGGTGGAATGGTTAACCCTTAGCCTTCCTGGGCTTGGTCTGATAGGTTAAAATAACTCATCCCTCTGGGCTATATGAAACTGGATTACCCCAGTAAATGTGACTGGTTAGTTTACAAGTCCATTTTCTTTTTTGTATTAGCTTGTACAGCCTTTATCCCCCCTAAATAACTTCAGGAAGTGAAGGAAAAAAGTGGTGGTGAGCAAAGTGAACCAGGGATCTGAAATATGAAAGCCTTTCCAGAGCACTAAGCATGAGCCCCATGGCTGGGCATAATAAAGTAGCAGCAATACTAGGATCTGCCAGAAGAATATGAGACTCTTAGTTTAATGAATTAACAAAGAGTCTAGGGAATGTGTTCCCTGAGGCTAAATAGGGACATATCTCCTTATTCCTTAACATCTGCCTGCACAGGCTTGATTCTGCTTCTTGATCTTGTGGAATGCATCTTCACCATAGCTACAGGCTGTGGGTGGAGACCTTAGCTTTGAAACCTGTGCACTCCTCAAAATACTGGAAGCTACCTTTTTTTTAGTGCTTGCAGCTCTTCATATTAGGAGTACTACTGTATGCCACAGGGACTGCAGGGAAATGCAGTAGCTTTAACTTCAAATGCCCTGTAATAACTTGGTAAGTTTGCTTGAAAAATCTTTTGTGAAGAAAGAAATTATCATCTTTATGTCTTCCTTCATTCCCTTGCCCAGGCATAAACATGGTCCATATAGTCTGGCTAGATAAAAAGACATAGACATTTTAAAAAAAAAAAATAAAAAATTCCATACTCCAGCATGGCTTACTACAAGAAAATATAGCTTGCTTTTCTCTGGTAGGGGACTTGCAGGTTGTGGCTGGGGAAGTCATGCTAAAACTGCTGTAGTTCTCATGGTATGTTAATGTTTACATGGTAGGAGTACTTCAGTAGCTGAAACTGCTCCCAGCATTCTTAAGTTGCTCAGTAAATGATAGTGTGTTTCCTCAGTAACAGCAAACCTTGCTAAGGGTAAAGCTATAACCTGCCCATGACCCTGCATAGCAAAGGAGTGCTGGTATCTGGCAGAGCTCACAGAAGTCTGGATGACTTTAATTCTGTTTTACCAACAGATAAGCTGTGAAGTGCTATTCTGCTTTGAGAATAGGTAAAGACTTCAACTCGGATGCCACTTGCAGCTGCAACTAGTATTTATTCCTACAGTTCCTGCCAATGAAGTTAAAACAATAATAACGTCTGTACATACTGGAAACATCTGCACAAATTATTTTCTCTGCAGAGCTGTATACACAATAGACAACACTGTTCAGCAACAGGTTTTAGTTCTTTCCTTGGTAGTCCCATTAGGTAAATTACATTCAACTTATGCAAAGGGATACTAAAATTGTCTTGTCAGTGTTGCAGATCTTGATTGATGGCTCTTAAATGGCTCTGATCAAAACTGCTAATTGCATTGTGCAAAATGAGACTGCAGATCTGTTTTCTGATACCACCAAACCTCATCAAAGTGGAAGTCATTTCCTGGAAAAGGTTAAGCTGTGGCAGGGAAGGCCTGGAGACTTGTTTACATAGCCTCTAGGCTGCCATAAGATGTTGCAGTGAATTAATCTGATCTTTCAAGATCTCGATTAACAGCTTTAATTGTTCTGCACTGTGTTTTTTCTAGGGCACAGGAAACCTTCATGCAGTGGGATCAATGTAGAAGATTTTATAACTTCCTCATGGCAGACAACATGAAGAAGATCATCCTTTCTCACAGGTACTGCAGTATATCACTTATACTGATGATATTAATTGGGTCAATTGCTATATTAGATTTGTTTTCTCAGTCCTTTAAAGTAGGACTTCTGAAAGATTATGCACCAGTTCCTTGCTTGGCGGTATTTAGATAAACCGACAGAGAAGGGGAGCCCACGTCAATCTCATTCATATACTGTAAAATACATAAATAAGCTTTCGTGATCTTGTTAGAAGAAAGCAGGCCTTGTTGTCTTTCTGTGTTCTGAGGAAACTTGCTTAATGAATAAACAAGATATGCACAAGAAAACATTGCAATTAGACTTCAAAGTGGAGTATTCTGCATCTGTTTCACTTCTAGCCAAAGATTTCCTTATTCAAGGAGCCTCTTGTTCTGCCACCTACCTGAGGTAGGACTAATCTTCAAGATCTGCTGTTTGGGGTTGCTGCTTATCAAATAAGTAAATAGTCAAGCTGTAGCTCTGGCTTCTAGCTGTTCCTCTAGAAAGAGCATGTAGCCAGGAAAATAGTTGGTGTTGCTGTTCCTGGAGTGCAAGCATACTTGTAGGATCCCTGTGCTGCTGTTGTGATCCATGGCTCTCACATAACAGAGATGTGTGTGTTAAACAGGTGACATGCTCAGTGTTGTTTCCTCACTCAGAATTTCTCTGGGTACTTCTTTCTAGGGCAATAAATGCGTAAGTACCTCATCAGTATATATTTGAATTTTCTTGATTTGAGGGGAATATCTGAGACCCATTCCAATTAAAAGCATGTGTCCCTTGCAAACTTCTAGTTCATTGTTTATACTCCTGTGCAGTATGAAACACTTGTAGAAGGAATTAGGGTAGCTGATGTGTAGGATGATCCACATAATTCATTCCAGATTGACAAATATTTAGACAACTTGACCAAATTTAACAGGTGAAGTTAGGTAAGCCCCCACTAAAAGGTATTTAAATTCATAACCCTGAAAAATCCAGTCCTGGCTTGAAGGCAAGTCTGTTAAGTAGACTTTTTTCCATAATCACGCTCTAAGGCAACTCCCCCAAATCAAACCTAGCCTACCTCCTGCTCTGCCCTGCAGCTGCCTCTGAAAGGGGAAAAAAAAAAAACCAACCTTTCCAACTTGTGGCTCTTGTTCTGTTTAAGGGAGCAGCTTGTTCTGGTAAAGAAACGCATCCTCTCCTGAGGGCAATAACTAATTATGACAAGTGTCCATTGTAAATAGCTTTCTGCTAAGATAATGCCCCAAGTAATTTCTGCTGTGTGAGCTAACCTAATATCTGTGCTGGGGAGACTTTGGGACCAGATGGTGAAGGAGATGCTATGCCCAGGACTGCTAGTGCTCTCATCCAAGCCACCCACGGGTTTGGTCTGAAGCCAAAGGACCCTCCCTCTAACATGCAACCTCTATTTCAAATACCCTTAGTGCTGTCCCTTCCGGGAAGATTCTTTAGAGGCCCCTCATGCAGTTTTTCAGTATAACAGGAAAACATTTTTTTTCTATAAAGAGACTGCTAGGATTTCTGTTATGCCTTGCTGCAAAGGAAGTGGACAAACAAACTGTGCTTGTTCCCAAGAAAGCCTCGTGTGTATGTAGCCCCCTTCTAGTCTTATCTTGTCAGACTTGTGAACTCAGTTGTCCTTGAGCAGGTAGTGGCTCTGCTGCCCTTGTTATGTTATTTAGATGTTTTTCTTGATGTTACTCTTTCAGGCAAGTTCTCTTTGGAGATAACAACATGAAGAAGCCACAAAACCTGTCAGATGCTGATCTGAGCAAACTCTATACAGCAACATCCCTTATGCAGATTGATGATAACATTATGAGGTATGAAGGGCGATTCTCTGATCCTCTGTAGAACTCTGAAAGTACCTTCTCTTTCAGGTGTTGCTCTTGCATGCCTCTTGCTGTGCCTGTAGGAATCTGCTGAAATACAGTGCTGACAACCTCAAATCCTTCCTTACCTTCTCATTGAATAAAACTTCCCAGAAAAAAAAAAACTTACTATTGACAGTTACATCTTCTGTAAAATCATCCAGGAGGCATTTATTTATTGGTAACTTCTGAAACTGCAGCCTTCAGTAATGTAGGAAGAGGCCAGCTCTGCCTGCAAGCTTGTCACCGTTTAAGGCTGGGCCGG